AAGTGCAGTGCAGGAATGAAGCTCAGTGACCCGAAACTATCATGCTGTTCTGGAGGCACTGAGCTGCTCTCTCTGGAAAATATAGTCCTTTTACCATACCAAATGACGAGTGAATTTGAATATAATGGATTGCATGGGGATCAGATTGAGTATAATCCAACGTATTACACATTCAGCCTTCGAGACACTTGAGTTAATTAACCTTTATTTATAGGCGCATGGCGTTCGCTAACATATACGACGTCATCCGACTGCCATGCGTGCTGCTAAATGAAAAGCGGACGACCGGTCATCAGCGCTTATTCAAAATTGTGCTAGGCCTAAACTTACAGGAGCATATTAGAGAAAATTCCAGTGTGTTACTTTTGGACGAAGGCTGAAGATTTTGCTTTATGGTAGCATGCACAAAAAGTAAGTCAGTTTGACGTTAATTCAGCTTATGTCTGACAGTGGTATGCTTGTGTGTGCTTAGAAATCCTGGACATGTTTTATCTATTGTTGATAGTCTGTATGACAAGCCAGTAAATAAAAACCCGTCCTACTCCATGACACGATGGTTTGTAAGCTAAATGCTTGACCACCACGTCTTACTGATAAGATTCAGCAGCACGCTGAACACTCATTAGTAGTTTTCTGAAACATTGTTTTGTCCCAAGACACTACGGATTAAAATCTAGGTGATCTTAAATAGCCCATTTTGTCCTAATTTTATGTGAATGAGCAAACTCCAGTGTTCGTCTGCCTTTAGGCTACGCTAGTATCGATTTTGATTTTGATCTACATTAAATGTAGATTGTTTTCGGGTCAATGTTAAGCTACTCAAAATGAAGGGCTTTCAAAATAATTTGGACGTAAATTAAGCTAAACAGCATTTGATACTTAGAAATAGTTTTCCAATTTGTGACCCTAAAGCACTTTTAAAACTCTGTTTTTCGAAGTCCATTGTTTTCTTTTTAGCCTTTGTTTCTTTAATCACTGAAGTTGAATGGAAAGGCGTTTGTAACAGCAACATATTTATTAGGGGATGATTTGAGTTCAGAGGTTACCGGATTCCTATGCTAAACTTCCGTGAAAATTTGTGTATCATAATATATAAGTGATTCCATTAATTACATTTCTTTTTTAGGCCCATGTCTGCCTCTTACAGAGCCTTCATTTGCATCCTTCTTGCGTCAGTTATGTTATGCTCGACGTCCAATGCACATGGAAGAGCATATGGCGAAAGCCCTGAGGAAGAATTCCCTGACGATTTTGAATTCTCTGACGATACTCGTCCCTCAATGGGTCAGTACAAACGCGCGCAGTTTCTCAGACTCGGGAAACGACCTCACTATATGATGCCCTCACGGCGTGCGAGTTTTCTACGGCTGGGGAAATAAATAAGCCAAAGTATGTAATCCATAGTTGACCATTTGTATTTCGAATCATTTGCCACTTAGTACATGTTGCCTGGTTTGACTTTAACTCTGCCGAACAGCTGGTACGTCTTCGTGTCCAAGAAACATATTTGTCAATTCAGTCTGTACAAATTATATACAAACCTCAAACACAGATTTGCAAACACAGACCAACCCACGGTTAAATATTCCATTTAGTGCTACGTTAGCCCAACGTTACGTAGATGTTAAGTCCTACTACTAAAGCGTCAAGCAGACATCAGATAAAAGCCTGGGTAAAAACTCATTAAACAAAAGCTTTCAGGTGCTTTCCCCTACCTTCTCATGTGACAGCTTTAGTGGCGCTCAGTCGTTGCTGAAAAAATTGGTTTTCACTTGTCTCGTTATATAGATGGTTCCGCCCTGTTAACCCGGTTTGACTTAAACTGGTTTCCCGTATATTTTGTTTATTCGGCTTGTATTGCGTGTTGCCTCATGTTTATTATTGCAAAATATTTAAGGCAATTTGTTTCCGTGGCGTGCAACACAATCACACTTGGGAATACACTGAACTATAGACAGGGTGGTTGGTGGAACTCTTCCGAAAAGATGTTACCATATTTAAAAACAAAATAAAAAGCTAGCGTGCTTTCGGTGACTTCAGACATATGACATGAAAAGCAAAAACTTTTAATTCAAAAACGGTTTTCTTAAGTGAGTTTTACTCAGAGTAGTTTTGAGAGCAGTCCACCGTGAGTTAGAATATTCCAGACCGTTGGAAATAATCCAGCGTCATTTAGCTCCGAGGATGTATGTAAATCAATAAACGCCTAAAAATGTTGGGTTAAGTAAGGAAACGGTAAAAAAAAGCCTGCTTTGAAAGTTAGTTGATTAGTTCAATTGGTTTTACCGCGTTTCCTGCCAGAACACACAGAAGATCAAACTTCAAACCATAAGTCCAAAAGGATTTTCACGCAGCAGTGCCTGCTTAAGGAGCTATCCGACTATGGTGATGGCGCGCCTTGACCACGAAATGTAAATATAGGATCTTATCTACAAACAGGTAAAAAACGTTAACACTATAAGCCGGAAAAACCGCTTACACACATAAGAATAGCATATATTACTGAAACGTCTCTATACGGGCTGTGTAAAAATTTAAAACACATTTCTCCACAAAATTCACAAAAAAAGTTTGCCTACACTCAGACCTGTTAAAAGTAAGATAAACCTTAGTAATAATCAACTCGAATAATAGCACACTCGGCACATACTAGAACTAAGTCAATAGGCATACCAGTTGTCACACATAATGGCTGATTGGCTTTTCAATTTCAACTCACATCCATAAAAACGCCCTAGCTATTTCACTTACGGTAACCGGAATCTACAGAAAACCGTAAACTACAAAGCTGCATCTCACCCTATAGGCACTCCAACTAGTGGTAATTTGGTTAAAATCAGCATATCTGGGGAAGGACTTCATGCAAACTGAGAGTCATACTGTGATCTCACACATCCCTTAATCCCACCAAATTGCAATCCATAGGAATAATGTTTACAAATTGTAGGTGCTTTGAAAACTGTTTTAATAACCTGGGACTAAATGGGGCTCGCTCCTCTGAGTCCAAATTCACCTCACTGTTGCTTACGTCTACCAAAAAAACATTTGACACCTCTTGAATAATCACTTTTTCTTTTCTACAGAATTCGAGGATCTCATCGTAATATAACTTGTACACTCTCGTCGTTTGCACCGCAATAAACGTTATGTCACGGACACGTGAATCAGTGCCCTCTATATTTTCAAAGCGATGAATGGGATGCAGGGAAAACATTGACACTATTTAGACAAGAAAATGGTAGTTTCTTTGTTGCATTAAAACACGTGCAAGAACGATGGATTTTGTGCAACCCGCTATGCGAGAGAATCATAAACACCACCAAATAACCTAGCGAAGGGAAGATAAATTGCATATTTTAGTAAACTGTTTATACTTCGAACACGGCGAATCGCGCTTAATACAGTTGATTCACTTATTTTCAAAACCCAAACAGCCTGTTCGTCTCTCAGTTACACTACGGGTTTCAAAAAGCCAATGGTACCGCCACTCATTCCGTGACCACCTTTAGTGTTGTACGTCACGAATATGCCGGAATCTCCGGTGCAGTATAAGTGCGGTACAAACAGGTTAGCATCTTTGAATGCACCACAAAATGCCACCAAATTGCAACATTAGTGGTGAACATTATAGTTCAACTATTGAATAATCTCAGCCATCGCATCCACGCGAGTACCAAGGCTCCTAATGAGACCCTTGATGTGGACGCATGAAGACCGGACAATCCACTCTGGATAGAACATTCTTGCTTTTTCTCATACTACCACATACATACCCACCGGAATATATGTTATTGCGATGTGAAATATTGTTTTGAAAAGCCTGACCTTGCATGCAGAAAACGAACCAACTACTGACATATTTTAGGAGAATTTTTAAGAAGATAGGTTTCCTAGAATATATCTGGGAAAGCAAGCCTGCTTTATTAGCCAATTTAGTGAAACTCATACGGAACCTTGTACAAACGCTAGTTGTTTATAAAATATTAGCGGAAGCCCAAGCAGATAACATGGAGTGAAGCCGTTTATAATGACTGAACGAAGCTACAGAAATCTGTCATAAATGAGCATAAAATAAAACAAATGTTGAAACTAAGTTCCTCAGAAGTTAACAAGTATCCTGATGCATTGACTCATGGAGGCTAATCTGTATCAAATAAATCATAATATATATAGTGCGTATGTGATGTATATATATACGCATTAGGGCCTTTAAACAGCCATTGCTGTCCGACACTTCCGCAGATAAACGGGAGCGCTGGACGTTTCATGGTTACTGTTCCACATCGTTCCACATACTTCACCACAGAAATGGCCGGTTTCCGTTATAATCTGTGATAGCAATGGACTGGCCAATGGACACTGTTGTTTTGAAACATATTGGAACAGTGTGAAAGATATCAATACGCGAAGTGCGCAGAGGTTTCAGTTCCCAAGGAGCGGAAGCAGCAAGTGGCCTGTTAATCACTGGAGTCAAGGCACAATGCCCTTAAATGCAGAAGGTTTGTAGAACGGCCTCGCAAAAAAACGCCCACAAAAATTTTGTGCACATCTTGGTTTGTGACCAGAGAAAGGCTGTGATGCTTCCCACTGTTTGCAAGAGATTCTGCAACATTATCTGATGGATCTTTGCCATGCCACACAAGAAAATTATGAGGGATAAGTGGGTGATCCAAGGTTAGGAGAAAAGTCAGAAATAACGAGAACCACATGGGTCATTCCCTCATAAGTATTATGCTGCTCGCGCTGTACGAGGTGCCACGAGTAGTGATATTCCTTTCACTACTTCGACAGACGTCCCTAACCTGCTGATTTTCTGAAGATCGGATTGCCTCACTGGAGTTTCTGGTAACACCAGTTAATTATTTGCGCCTAAGTTACGTAACTTTGGTTTGCCCAAAGGCCATAAGGGCTACCTTGTTATGCTGTGTGCGGTACTGGTGTTTGAATAATCGGGCATAACACTTATGGACTTGTTAGCCCGGTGAGTCAAAGAATAGCAGAAATTTGTTACAATTCCAGTGGACTTCAGCGGTGAAAACCACATTTTGTAAAAGCTGCACATACGAGAAACCAAACGTCAGATTTAGATGTAAGTGCTGTCAAGGTTTTTTAAAGTTCTGATGAATTAGCCTGAGCTTCAACCAAAAGAGCAACAAGCAAATACCACACAAACCCTCGTAAGATGAACCGACTATCAAGGGAAACATATCAAATCGAAACATGATTTTAAAACTCATCCTTTCGTACCGGCGGGATGAAAATCTCTATATGCAACTTTTAAGCTGTTTTGCAAAGAGTTTTTGAGGTCAGTGGCCCGAAAACACTTACGCGATCCACTCTCCAACCTCCTTATTTAGAAGAGAAGGCCGCACTTTATTAAGCTTCATAAATTTTTATCAGATATTCTCCAGTGTAATCGGTTTTGAACCAGGCATTCTTGTTTGAATCAAATGCCAAGGAAATATAAACTCTGAAATTACAGTTAGTAAAACTCACGGACTAGCCGCCTAAAACTTTTACACGAATGATAAGCCCACCGCGAGTTTTATGCTCGTGATCCAAAGCGTTATTCCACTAATTTTTAGACCTTCTTACTCATAATGTTACACAGTGCCTTAGAAGATAAATTGCTTTACCGTAAAAAGCATGAATATGTACCAAGCACGGTTAACTGTATACGTAAGGTACGTAAACTTTAGATCGTTTGCAGGTGGTTTTCAAAAAATAGCATCGACGCCTTTCCCACTGAAACAGACTAGGTATGGACAATATCAAGACAGACGTGGCAGTTCTTATTAAAATGTCCGGCGAGGATCGAAACTGGGTCATCGGACTGTACTTTTGGAAATTGCATCCACATTTCTCTTACCAAGGTCCATATTTTTCATATCTGCAACGAAAACTTGTCACTAGTGAACAAACGGTCAGATATCATAGAACCATTCAACTAAAGTTATTTGATGGGCTCACCCACGACAGCTAATTATACGGTAGACGTACGTCAATGTAATGTGTGGTGCACAGTCCAGAACCCGATATCAGCGGGAAAGAGGATACCGGATACATGAAGCTTTTAATTGTAGTATCGTCATTCTTTTTACTGATACATTCATTCTTTTAGTTTGACGACCGATTCATCCAAGGTGCGAAAGAAACTGTAAGTTAACATTCCGGTAAATGAGCCCACCAGTTAACCGGCTGAGGGCTGTTAAAAGAGACAAATGGGAGTTTAAAAAGAAAGACATTTAGGTTGATAGATTAGTCGACAGTCCAGCAAATTGTGTGAATTTGTTTCATACTTACCATTAAAGTTGACACACGTGAATTTATTCAAATACTAACCAAAATAAGTTTCTGACGGAAGACAGATGTGAAACCTAATAAGAGGCATTCTTGCGAGTTTTGAAATGGCAAATAATCCCATCATAGCGTCTACCTATCTATGAGTGTTTCAACAAACTTTCATCAGCTTACAACGTTCGGACCACTTTATACTTAGTTCACTTATAACAGTATAGCTTTTATTCCATAAGTCTGGACGACTGTCCCTCGTTGCCTGCTCTCTATCTAATCACATCCGACTGTACCCAAGCATAACATGCTGCTAACCACAACAAACCCGACATAAAATATGTAGATAAAACACTGATTTAACTGCACATCTACGCTTTTCTGAAACTCCTGTGGGACGGCAACAAATGTCAGACAACGAAGATTGCTTTTATACCCACAAGTACTTTTCGTCAATTCATTTTGCTGTGGTCACTCGAAGGCGGTTGCTACAATGGGCGAATCGTGTGAGATGACTATTTTGGAAGCAGAGCACACGAGAATGATGACCTTCCATGAAAATATACTGCGATCTCTCGAATATCGTGCCAACGTAAACATGTGGTAGCCTGTGTGCAGCACATTTAGTTGTAGAATATCATAAACGAGAGATTCAACGGAGTCTCTAATGAAAACCAAATTGATTTGCAAATCAGTGTATTTTTCGAGAGAAGAGTGACCTTTATTTTAGCATAAAAAGATGGCGTTTCTGTATAATGTATATTTACTTTCAGCAAAAAACTGGATATACAGTACACCTCACACAGTGGCAGCTTACACAATAACATGATATAACGGTTCGCAAAATATACACCAATTTGATTTTAGCGGGGAACTCAAGTGAATCCCAACTATCTCTCTCGCTTATGGCGGTAGAAATATAAGGTTGATGGAAGCTCCGAATTTGCGTTCACTTGACTAAGTACAAAAATAACGAAGTTGGTAGCGGACTGTAGAAGAGTTTTCAGTAAACTTATGATTGGATCGCTTCATGTTAATATGACACGACCTCTCAAATATCGTGCCATCTTGAGCATGGCGCGGTCCTGGTGCAGCGCATCTACTTTAATAATATCAAAAATAGAGGTTAAGCTGGGTTCAGTTGAGTCCACTTTCAAAAGCACACCGGTGTGCAACTCAGTGTGGTTTGCAATTTTCGTTCATTTCGGGATAAAAAAGAATATGAAATTGATGGAAACCCAAGGAGTGCTCATACTTATTGAGCTTTTGTCTGAGAAGACAACAACAGTTTACGTGTAATAGCACCATCCGAACAGCTAGTGATCTTTTGCACAACCTATTCCTCAAAAGCAACTGGTCCGTTGTCAGACTCATCTATTGGACACCGATGCACATGGATATAATCAGAGATTTTATCCACTTTGGGAAGATGAAAAAAATTTCGAGGTGAACTTGAAGGTGATAACTGAATTTCGCTTAGGTTATATATAAGTGGATTCGTCTGTCGTTGTTCAACTTTTGGTGCACCCTTTTGGTGCCTAACTGCCATGCCACGCGAAGGTTGCACAAGGACTGAGATACTGCCAGGTTGCCCAATCCTAGACAGGGGAAGTCGAGAGGCAGAAGTCGGGTTCAAACCACGGACCTTTTGTTAAATAGATCCGCACTTCCCATCTCGCCTGTCTGTTTGTATTCTTCTACGGTTGTGTTGGTTTATCACGGTCTGGTCATTCGTCTAACTGGAGTACTACGCAAAACGTTGAATACTCACTTAATGGCTCGTGTCGTGCTAAGAAGCGAGCGCACTTTCATACGCAGCACAAACATTAGTCTAATACTTGGCTTTACTTCCTCTCATAACATTCTAAGGCTTTCTGATCGTTAGAAGTTTTCTCCACTCCAAGACATGGTAGCCTATTTTAAGAAGTATGGAACAGGTTTATGGACTTAGAAACAATTTTTAAATGAAAAATACACATCATACCAGCTACAACAAGTCTTCGTGCAGATTATGAGCAGCACCAAACTGTTCAGAGGATACCATCCAAAATATACTCGGTTCGCGACCAGCTTGGTGTTCTGTATACGGTTGGTGATATCCAGCAAGAATGCCACATCTCATGTTGCTTTATCTCAATCGATAGAAAGTAAGTCTATTCTCGGAAACCTATATTTCCTTCCATTTATTTCTTGAGGAATCTAAATATCCCATTAGGCTCACCGGTGCGCTTCATACACTTTGCCAAAAAATTCCTAATCAAGCGGAACCTCGACGGATCAAAAGGGAACATAAATTGGTGCTCGGTTCATGGAATGGACGATAAAGGAATCACAGTCTAGAATTAGGGATGCGCAACTGGGTGAAAATTATAAATAGGCACATAACTATGCCAATAAAATGTCCCTTTTTGCCGTTAGGACGTAAAAACGTAAAATTAGGAAACACTGGATAGCTTAAATCATGGACCAGAACAGAACCCTAGATGGATGCGGACTTTATACCTCCATACCTTGGTGCATCAGCCATTGTTTGTCTTGAAATTCGGTTTAACCGATTCGTCACTGAAATTCAGTACATAGTTACATGAAATATGAGCACAACAAACATTTTTAGACAAAACATCTCCATGCGGGTGCTGGGCAACCTCACCTAGCAGGTGATGACTCGCTCCGCTGGACTAACGAGCATATCAGTGATCTGGAACAGTAAGTCACGAAAGTGACATGATCCTGTCAGCTATGGCTGGAGGTTGGCTAAAAATTAGCAAACCCAATTTAAAAAACATCATTTTGTTGAAAAGCGGGTTGTATACCGGAGATGCACTGCCGTTCACGCTCTTGAACAACTGTTAACCACTTTGTTGGTTTGATTTCTGTGATTCACTTACGATCGTGTCCCATGAGATCATCGAATCCTATTGCAAGCTCGGTTGCCTGAGGATAACGGTCTTGACCTTATACTCAGAGCTGACATCCGGGCCCATTTAGCTGGATAAACCCAGCATAGTGGCAAAGGATGAGTGGGACCATGTCCTGTCTAATTGTGAGTTGATCCCCTCTCGTGAACGAATCATTAAATGTGCAGGCACCGGCAAGAATGTAGCGGGTTCGAAACTCTCTGAGTTTCATCAGATGCACACTAGTGATGACCATCATTGATGATGCTATCGTAATTCAGAGCTTTTCAGTTTTTAGTACAGATTTACTTTACCAACGGTATGAATTTTCAATTGTAAATTACCCAGTCTTCTTGCACCATCATCAACTAATGACATCCCAGAAAACGGGCTAGGCGTAAGAATTCCGCATGAGGTAACGGCGTACAAACTGGAAGGAGGAAAGAAATCTCAAGCATAACACGGCCGTATCCGTTGGATTTTTTTTCATAAACAAAACTTACAGGATCATTAGGTGGGTCCTGCGGCGTTTATAGAAATTCCAGCCTTCTGTAAGTCAGTGAAAGCAAATTTACGAAATGGGAATTATTTACGATCTGATAATCATTTGCAGGATCAGCCCTGTCTGAACACGATCATTCTAGCTCGCAGTAATATGGATTTATTGACATTGTGAAACGACTTGGAAGTCGCAGTCGAGATTCCATCATGAGCGTGAAGTCAACCTATGCAAGAAAAATTGGCACCCCATTCTACACCTGTTTTGCCTTAGGCGCTGCACATCCCCGAGAAACGCTGTGAGTGTTTACGGCTGCGATTTTCCGGCTGATAGTTAAGAAACAAACCACTGAGCTAAGGCAGATGATGTACAATGTAAGTAGCTCATCCCAATCAAGATATACTGCCACTCATTGTTCAATCACGCAATTCATATCTTTACACATGTTGACTGTGTCCCTGATAGAAGACATCTCAAGTGGAAGGTTCACACTCTTTGTAAGCTATTTGCCTTTCCAAGCTACATGCAGGATCTCGATAGCTAAATTTCAGGTCTCCTCATAACATCAGAAAATATACGTGGCTCAGATCGAGGAATAATTCACATGTTGCGTGAGCCTTGTATCTAGGTCACCACGTCATCAACAGGTTTCGGCTGTTTTACGAAGAGGTATAGCAAGAGAAACTTTGTTTTTATCCCCCACGAAGCTAAAGGTAACCTCCTGTGAAAGGAAGAAACAAAGTATCTGAACTGTACACTTGAGTTTTCCAGATTTTATGCGGAAGAAAAGTGAGTATTGGTTTGATGCTTATCAGTTTGACAAAAATCTGAAAAATTAGTTGGCTTTTTAGAACATTTGGTGAACTCACTCGCTCCAACCATGAGAAGGGTCAAACTTTGGAAGCAACCAATACTATTCAGGTGCAACTATCTACGCATTAAGTATCTGGGGAGCACATATTTGAAACAGCATTTTGCTCAAAAAGAAAAAGTCGGACAGCGCGCCCCCTGCAAGCTGAAAATGATCCAGATGTCTATGAAAATGCATGTCATTCTTGCATAAGCACTAGAACTGACGTGCCCTCTGTAGAAAAAAAATCGTGAGTTAAGATGTAGTTTATATTAAATGAACTTCAGCCTAAAGAATTCCCCACTGTCGCTCTGATTTGATACCATTGGTTATTTCAGATATTTATTCAAAAACAAGAAACTCAAAGGCTAGCTCTCTACCTTTCACCATTCCGACCAAGTACTTGATGGCTGAAAATTCTGTGAGATGGGGATTTCTTCACACTGAATCCTAGAGACCATTTGAGTTCAGTGACCTGAAGGTAGGCCCGGAAGTTCATTGAGTTAACGCAATGAGGAATGTACCGGCACACTAGTATCAAAATCACATGGTTGTGACTAAAACATTCTGGTTTGATTCGGTTTCCTTTCTTTCTACCTTGAGTCTGCTCTAGCGAATTT